TTGGTAGGAATTTTCAATGATGTTTTTTTTTTTATATATATATGAAATAAAATTACTTTTCAATATAATAAATATGTATAAGTATAATGTTTGTATATAAAAGAAATATGTTTGTAAATAAGACATACATAAATAAATGTTTCATGTAATTTTGTAGTTTTTGTTGTATATAAGACTGGTCTGTGTTGGAATAAATGCGTGAATCTGGGCATTTTGGAGTTTGTTAATTACAAAAAAGTATTAAAGAAAATTTAATAAAATCAAAAAAAAATTATATTATTATGTTTGTTGTTTAAGAGGTTTAATAAAGGTTTATTATTTTTAGTTAATTTATTTGTTTGGTTTATTTAAATGCCTTCAATTGGATTGGTTACGTTTTAAAAAAAAAAATATTATTTTCTTCTAAAGTATTTGTTTTTTCTTTTGAAATTAAAAACTTAAACCTTTCCTTTTGTTTTTATGTTTTTTTTTACTTTAACCTAAATATATATGTTTTTTTTATAATGTTATCAATTAAACAATTTCATTTTAATAAATTTATGTAAATTTTCAACAGATAAAAGAATTTGTTTATATTTTGTTTTTATATACCAAGCCAATTTATACAAATATTTGTTTTTTATTAAAAAAAAATCTATTTTTTTAATTTTTATTAATAGTTTTAGTCTGCTGTTTACTGGAAAAAAATGGCCTATACGTCACTTTTATTTTATTATAAAATTATACAAATTATATATTTAAATATTTGGGATTTTCACAAGTTTCTTATTACTTTTTTTTCTCTTTCATATCAAATGTACACATTTTTTAAACTGTTTTTTAATAATTTCTATATGTTTAATTATAATTAGTATAAAGTTTTGTGAAGAATTTAAATTTTGGAAAAATGTTTGTTTAATTAAAAAGCTTAATAAGGAAAGTAAACAAAATTCTTTAAATAATACCAATTACCAAAAATAATGTACATTTTGTAAATTGTTTGTCGATGTTTAGTTTATTACAAATATACACTCAGAGAAATTAAAAGAAATTTACAATTTTTAAATCGATCAAAGGGTAATTGTATCAAAAAGAAAAGCTTTTACGTAATAGAATCACTCTTATCTCGAGTAAATTACTCTGTATTCCCTTTCTCTTTTATTTCTCGAAATTTAAAATTTATTCACCGATTCATTCACAATAACCTCTATTCTTTATTTTGATACGAATCGAAATTTTCTCCGTTTGGCGACTGTAATATTCTGCTAAACGAAGCTAAGATCATAATGACAATACTTACAATCGTAAAGCATTGAAACGTAATGGTAAAGCTTCTTCTTTTTCTTACGAGTACGTTTTAAATTGGAACCAGGCATGGAAAATATAAATTTTGAAATAGTACTAAATTTTGCCAAAAATAGTTAGTTTTTGTGGGTAAAAGTACTAAATTACTGTTCGGGTTTATTTGCTATTGACTAGTTCATAAAGAAGTCATTTGACTGACCAACTAATTAGTCAGTGGACTCGTATTATAATAAGTATATAGAATGGTTTATTAGCAAGGTTGTGGACTAACATATAAACTAGTCTGTTGACTATAATATAGACTATTCTATTGACTAACTTCTAGTGTATTAATTAGTCAATAGTCTCTTGACTATTGTAGTATATGCACTAGTCTGTAGACTTACATTAGTCTATGGACAAGACAGTTGAGTGGTCTTTGGACTAGTCTATTCATTAGTCAGTTAAGTAGTTGATGGTCAAGTATATGGATTAGTCTACTGACTAGTTTATTTTCAATTCTATGGACTAGTCTATCGGCTAATCTATGGTAAAGCCTATAGTCTTTCGACTTGTCTATGGACTAGTCCATTAACTAAGAAATAGTCTATTAACTAGTAGATGTACAAGTCTAGGGATAAGTCTATTGACAAGGCTTAAGACAAGTCTATTGTCTAATCTATGGACTCTCCTATGGACTAGTGAATAGTCTTTCGACTAGTCTTTGGAATAGCCTATAGTATTTGGAGTTGTCTATGGGCTAGTCCATTAACTAAGAAATAGTCTATTAATTAGTCTATTAACTAGTAGATGAACAAGTCTAGAGATTAGTCTATTAACAAGACTAAAGAAAAGTCTAACTATGCCTTAACTATGCACTAATCTGTTGGCTAGTTTATAGTCTTTCGACTAATCTATTAAATAGTCTATAGTCTTTCGACTAGTCTAGGTACTAGTATATTAACCAGTCTATGCACTTTTTTATTGACTAATCCACAGACTTGTCACGGTAATCTATTGACTAGCCTGTCAATATTTACTAGTCTACTGACTAATCCTCTATGGTCTATGCATAAGCCTTAGAGAAATAAGAACATTTTATACTTCTCTTGAAAATATTCATTTAAAAGTATACATTCAAAAGTTATAATTGCTATCACGAATATTCCGCAAACTTTTCATTCACAATAGTTGGTTTTCTTCTTAATAACTGTGAATTGTTTACAAAATTCTAACGTTAAAACCCACAAAACAGAATTTTTGAGAACAATAATCGTGAAATAAATTATAGTATTTTAAGTGAAATTTTATGCGCGATAATTGCTAAATAATATAACCAAAAATCCAAAAAAAAAAATTCTTAATCGATATTGAATTAAAAATAGAAAGAATTCGTAATTTTGTATTTGAATATATTTCATTCAAAGGACAATTTTTACAATTCTCATTCTCAATCACGAATTCATTCCCTTTCCATATCTGTTTCTCTTGAACTATCGTGAATATTCCGCAAACTATTCATTCACAATATTTCACTTTTTTGTATTAGTTGTGAATTGTTTGTAAAACATTCACGAAATTTATTTATTGGAAAACATGGCAAACAAATGAAATAAAAAGAAATAAACTTTTCTGAAGTTAAATGTTGCAACCAAAAGCTAGAAACTTTTTTTATAAAAAATTATCATTGAAAATTATATAAATCATTACTTTTTCTTACAGACAACCATATGCTGGCAACTTTTTAGAATTTTGTTGTGTTGAAATATTGCAGATCGAATCTGGCAACATTTTCTAAACTAAAATATTGACAGTCCTAAGTTGACAACTTTTTTCTGCTGAAAAATGTTTACAGACAGAGTCGGAATGATTTTTCTTCAAATAATTTTAAATATCTTAAAGAAAGCTTGCAACTTTTTCTGTAAAACAATTACAAAATAAAGCTAGCAACTTTTTCTAGGGAATAACGTTGATAAACAGACACTGGCAACATTTTTATAAAGAAAAATGTTGATAACCAAAAGTTAATAACTTTTTTCTAGAGAAAATCTATGACAGTGAGTGGCTGACGAAGGTACACTAGCAACATTTTCTAAATGTAGTGTTACAAAATGACAGCTTTTTCTTAAAGGAAATTTTTTCCAAAATTTGTTATTTTCAAATGTTGCCGACCAAAGCTGGCAACATTTCTTAGACAGTCCTAAGTTAACAATAGTTATTCTAGTAGAAAATGTTTACAGACAGAACTAAAAAGTTGCATCTTTAAAATATTGTAAAAGTCTTAAAGAAATCTTGCAACTTTTTCTGAATAACAGAAACTTTGTCTAGGGAGCAATGTTGACACACAAAAGCTGGCAACATTTTTGTAAAGAAAAATTTTTATAACCAGTAGCTAATAACTTTTTCTTAAAGAAAATTTCTGGCCGTCAATGGCTGGTAACTTTTCCCAAAAAGAACAGCTTGAAACTAACATAATTCTTCTACAGACTTATGTTGCTGACCAAAGCTGGCAACTTTATCCTAAAGAAAAATGTTGCAAACGTACTCAGGCCACCTTTTCTAAATGTTGTGTTATAAAATGACAGATTTTCTTAAAAGCAACTTTTTCACAAGAACAATGTTGACAACTATAATCTGACAACATTTCTCAAAGGATAAAATCAAATTTCACTAAAGACAAATGTTGCAGAAAGAAGACAGCTTGAAACTAACATAATTTTTCTACGGACAAATGGCTAACTAAAGCTAGCAACTTTATCATGAATAAAAATGTTGCAAGCGTACTCAGGCCACCTTTTCTAAATGTTGTGTTATAAAATGACAGATTTTCTTAAAAGCAACTTTTTCAGAAGAACAATGTTGACAACTACAAGCTGGCAACATTTCCCAAAGGATAAAAACAAATTTCACTAAAGACAAATGTTGCAAAAAGAAGCTGGCAAACGTTTTCTAAACAAAAATGTTGACAACTTATTCCCGAGAAAGAAAATTACAAACAAAAGCTTAAAGCTCTACAAAATTTCTCTGAGTGTACTAAAAGTTAACTTGCAGTGTAACTATTTCTTTGTTTTTTTGTAATTATAGTGTCATGAAAAAGCTTTTTTCTTGTTAAATTTTGTTAATATAGTTTTGTATTTTTGTTTATTTATTGCAATTAATAAGTTTTTTTTTTTTTTTTTTTGTTAAAAGCAAATCATTATTATCAGTTTGATTTGTTAATTTATCAAAAAAGATTTTTGTTTTTTTTTTAATATATTTTTGTAATTTTTATTTATTTTTTTGTTTTTATTTTTGTATTTATTTCATTGTTTTCTAAATTGTGTAAAAAAATTTGGTATTTTTGTTTGTTATTTCATTTCCATTTATATATATATATAATTTATGTATATAATTTATTGTTTTTTTTTAATTAATTTTGGTTTGAATATAGAATGTTTTTTTCTTTTACTTTTTTTAATTAAAAAAATTGCTTATTTTTTTATAAATATATTTTTGTTTTTTTTAATAATTTGATTTATATATGCCTTAAAACATATATATTGGCGTTGTTATGTGTTTTTTTTTTTTTAATTTTGTTATAGGTTTTGTTTTTATAAATTTTAATAACTAAAAACAACAAAAAAAAAAATAATTCAATATTTCAGTTCCATAAAGTAAGAGCAATAATAGAAAAAAATTAATGCATAAAAAATGTTAAAGAAAAAATTAAAACAAAAACTAGAAAAGAAAATTAGGGAATTTGTTTATGTTTTTGTTTTTTTTTTTTTTGTATGTAAATATTTATATGTGTATATATGTATATATAAAGAACTTAAAGTATTATACCTAAATATTGAATATTTATAAACTTATCCTAATCTTGCACCTCTCGATAGGGCACCTCAGACGTCACCGAATACGATTCAAAGTAATGATTTAAAAATTCAAACGTTGGTCTCTTCTCCGGTATCGCATCCCAACATTGCAACAACAGATGATAAATATTATCGGGGAAATAATGATTTGTCGGCTTTGGCATACGGAAGCCACGTTCAATATTCTCAATGACTTCACGACTATGCATACCAGGATATGGCACTTGTCCGTATGTAAATAATTCCATGAGCAGTATACCATATGACCAGACATCGGATTTTATTGAAAATTTACCATATATAATGGCCTCCGGTGCTGTCCATTTGACTGGGAAGCGGGAACCCTGTTTCGGACAATATTCATCGTCCGCTATGACGCGCGCCAAACCGAAATCACATATTTTCGCTACATTATTTTCGCCTATTAGAACGTTACGAGCTGCCAAATCACGATGTATTAGTTGTTTCGATTCCAGATATTCCATACCGGAGGCAACCTGTGTAGCAATATAGATGAGATCTTCAAAGTGTAAATAGCGTCCATCGCCTTCGCGTAGATAATCTAGTAAGCTGCCTTTAGACATGTATTCTTGAACAATGTAAATGGGTTCTTCCTGTAGATGGTAATAACACGGTGGTAAGTGGAAATTATAAAGCGATACACAAAGAAAAACTTTTAATAAAATTAATCATATCAATAAAATAAAGTAAATGAAACTAAAACTGAACTAGAACTGTACTAAAATTGAACTATAACTGAAATAGTAATGAACTAGAACTGAACTAGAACTGAACTAGAACTGAACTAGAACTGAACTAGAACTGAACTAGAACTGAACTAGAACTGAACTAGAACTGAACTAGAACTGAACTAGAACTGAACTAGAACTGAACTAGAACTGAACTAGAACTGAACTAGAACTGAACTAGAACTGAACTAGAACTGAACTAGAACTGAACTAGAACTGAACTAGAACTAGAACTGAACTAGAACTGAACTAGAACTGAACTAGAACTGAACTAGAACTGAACTAGAACTGAACTAGAACTGAACTAGAACTGAACTAGAACTGAACTAGAACTGAAGTAAAACTGAACTAGAACTGATCTAGAACTGAACTAGAACTGAACTAGAACTCAACTAGAACTCAACTAGAACTGAACTAGAACTGAACTAGAACTGAACTAGAACTGAACTAGAACTGAACTAGAACTGAACTAGAACTGAACTAGAACTGAACTAGAACTGAACTAGAACTGAACTAGAACTGAACTAACTAGAACTGAACTAGAACTGAACTAGAACTGAACTAGAACTGAACTAGAACTGAACTAGAAATGAACTAGAACTGAACTAGAACTGAACTAGAACTGAACTAGAACTGAACTAGAAACTGAACTAGAACTGACTAGAACTGAACTAGAACTGAACTAGAACTGAACTAGAACTGAACTAGAACTGAACTAGAACTGAACTAGAACTGAACAGAACTGAACTAGAACTGAACTAGAACTGAACTAGAACTGAACTAGAACTGAACTAGAACTGAACTAGAACTGAACTAGAACTGAACTAGAACTGAACTAGAACTGAACTAGAACTGAACTAGAACTGAACTAGAACTGAACTAGAACTGAACTAGAACTGAAGCTAGAACTGAACTAGAACTGAAGTAGAACTGAACTAGAACTGAACTAAACTGAACTAGAACTGAACTGACTGAACTGAACTAGAACTGAACTAGAACTGAACTAGAACTGAACTAGAACTGAACTAGAACTGAACTAGAACTGAACTAGAACTGAACTAGAACTGAAACTAGAACTGAACTAGAACTGACAACTAGAACTGAAACTAGAACTGAACTAGAACTGAACTAGAACTGAACTAGAACTGAACTAGAACTGAACTAGAACTGAAACTAGAACGAACTAGAACTGAACTAGAACTGAACTAGAACTGAACTAGAACTGACTAGAACTGAACTAGAACTGAACTAGAACGAACTAGAACTGAACTAGAACTGAACTAGAACTGAACTAGAACTGACTAGAACTGACTAGAACTGAACTAGAACTGAACTAGAACTGAACTAGAACTGAACTAGAACTGAACTAGAACTGAACTAGAACTGAACTAGAACTGAACTAGACTGAACTAGAAACTGAACTAGAACTGAACTAGAACTGTAACTAGAACTGAACTGAACTGAACTAGAACTGAACTAGAATGAACTAGAACGAACTAGAACTGAACTAGAACTGAACTAGAACTGAACTAGAACTGAACTAGAACTGAACTAGAACTGAACTAGAACTGAACTAGAAACTGAACTAGAACTGAACTAGAACTGAACTAGAACTGAAATAGAACTATAACTGAACGAACTGAACTAAACTGAACTAGAACTGAACTAGAATGAACTAGAACTGAACTAGAACTGAAACTAGAACTGAACTAGAACTGAACTAGAACTGAAACTAGAACTGAACTAGAACTGAACTAGAACTGACTAGAACTGAACTAGAACTGAACTAGAACTGAACTAGAAACTGAACTAGAACTGAACTAGAACTGAACTAGAACTGACTAGAACTGAACTATAAACTGAACTAGAACTGAACTAGAACTGAACTAGAACTGAACTAGAACTGAACTAGAACTGAAACTAGAACTGAACTAGAACTGACGAGAACTGAACTAGAACTGACTAAGAACTGAAATAGAAGACATGAACTAAACTAGAACTGAACTATGAACTAGAACGGAAACTAGAACTGAACTAGAACTGAACTGAACTAGAACTGAACTAGAACTGAACTAGAACTGAACTGAACTGAACTAGAAACTGAACTAGAACTGAACTAGAACTGAACTAGAACTGAACTAGAACTGAACTAGAACTGAACTAAACTGAACTAGAACTGAACTAGAACTGAAACTAGAACTGAACAGAACTAACTAAACTGGAACATAGAACTAGAACTAGAACTGAACGAAGAACTGAACTAGAACTAGAACTGAACTAGAACTGAACTAGAGACTAGAACTAGAACTAGAACTAGAACTGAACTAGAACTGAACTGAACTAGAACTGAACTAGAACTGAACTGAACTGAACTAGAACTGAAACTAGAACTGAACTAGAACTGAAACTAGAAACTGAACTAGAACTGAACTAGAACTGAACTAAACTGAACTAGAACTGAACTAGAACTGAACTAGAACTGAACTAGAACTGACAGACTGAACTAGAACTGAACTAGAACTAGAAACTAGAACTAGACTGAACTAGAACTAGAACTGAACTAGACTGAACTAGAACTGACTAGAACTGACTAGAACTGACTAAACTGAACTAGAAACTGAACTAGAACTGAACTAGAACTGAACTAGAATAACTAGAACGAACAGAACTGAACTAGAACTGAACTAGAACTGAACTAGAACTGAACTAGAACTGAACTAGAACTGAACTAGAACTGAACTAGAACTGAACTAGAACTGAACTAGAACTGAACTAGAACTGAACTAGAACTGAACTAGAACTGAACTAGAACTGAACTAGAACTGAACTAGAACTGAACTAGAACTGAACTAGAACTGAACTAGAACTGAACTAGAACTGAACTAGAACTGAACTAGAACTGAACTAGAACTGAACAAGACTGAACTAGAACTGAACTAGAACTAGAACTGAACTAGAACTAGAACTGAACTAGAACTAGAACTGAACTAGAACTGAACTAGAACTGAACTAGAACTGAACTAGAACTGAACTAAATGAACTAGAACTGAACTAGAACTGAACTAGAACTGAACTAGAACTGAACTAGAACTGAACTAGAACTGAACTAGAACTGAACTAGAACTGAACTAGAACTGAACTAGAACTGAACTAGAACTGAACTAGAACTGAACTAGAACTGAACTAGAACTGAACTAGAACTGAACTAGAACTGAACTAGAACTGAACTAGAACTGAACTAGAACTGAACTAGAACTGAACTAGAACTGAACTAGAACTGAACTAGAACTGAACTAGAACTGAACTAGAACTGAACTAGAACTGAACTAGAACTGAACTAGAACTGAACTAGAACTGAACTAGAACTGAACTAGAACTGAACTAGAACTGAACTAGAACTGAACTAGAACTGAACTAGAACTGAACTAGAACTGAATTAGAACTGAACTAGAACTGAACTAGAACTGAACTAGAACTGAACTAGAACTGAACTAGAACTGAACTAGAACTGAACTAGAACTGAACTAGAACTGAACTAGAACTGAACTAGAACTGAACTAGAACTGAACTAGAACTAGAACTGAACTAGAACTGAACTAGAACTGAACTAGAACTGAACTAGAACTGAACTAGAACTGAACTAGAACTGAACTAGAACTGAACTAGAACTGAACTAGAACTGAACTAGAACTGAACTAGAACTGAACTAGAACTGAACTAGAACTGAACTAGAACTGAACTAGAACTGAACTAGAACTGAACTAGAACTGAACTAGAACTGAACTAGAACTGAACTAGAACTGAACTAGAACTGAACTAGAACTGAACTAGAACTGAACTAGAACTAGAACTGAACTAGAACTGAACTAGAACTGAACTAGAACTGAACTAGAACTGAACTAGAACTGAACTAGAAATGAACTAGAACTGAACTAGTAACTGTACTAGAACTGAACTAGAACTGAACTAGAACTGAACTAGAACTGAACTAGAACTGAACTAGAACTGAACAAGAACTAAACTAGAATTGAACTAACTAAGTTAAGAAAATCTCCAAGTAATCTGTTAATTTTTGAATAAAATTATAAAACTATAATTTTTAATATTTTTAAACAATTTAACACATTTCTGCTGCGCTATGCAAAACTTTTCACATTCAAAAGAATATACTCCTCTTGATAATCTTTAAATTAATTAATCTAAATGTTACATATTGTGCATAAATACACACATACGCACATTTCATAACTTATACTTTATAAAATGTCTAATTTGTATATAAGAAAGTTTTATTCTTGTGAAACTACTAACATTGTAATACTTTTATGAACTAAGTTACAACGTCAACATTTCACTAAAATGAAACAGTTTTAACGATTTAAAATATTTCCTAACCAAACTTCGTAAAAAGTTTTATAAACTAAACTAGTATAATAAAAAAAAGTATAAATTAAAAACGAAAGAGAGAAAGAAATAAATGAAGAAAAGAACAACTTGAACTTTAAAAAAAATCTAATAACATTTTCATGCCACAATAGGTAGCAAGAAAGCAAGCTGGAAAACAGTTCAACAGTTCAAATAGCAGAAAATTTAAGAGGGGAAAACTATAAAAAATGTCTATTGTTAAAAAAATACAAACGATGTCTTGTATTATATGATCTGTTAGTATAATAATGATGATGGCGATGCACAAACCTGTGAACAAACCGCATAAAGTGCAACCAAACGATTATGACGAAACTTTTTCATTATGGCAGCCTCTTGCAGGAAGGCAGCTGTCGACATTGTGCCCTCACGTAGTGTTTTAACAGCAACATCAATGCTATTACGCCATTTACCATAAAATACTTCGCCAAAGTTGCCGCGACCTAATTTACGTATTAGTTGAATTTCTGAACGTGGTATTTCATATTTATCCCGCAATTCTGGACCCAAATCCCACATTTGTGGTTGTGGTTTGGGACAAGGTCGTGACAGTATATGGCAGAGACCCAAAGCATTTTCTATATTTGAAGAAAACAACAAAAGAAATTAGAAACAAACTGAAAACAATTGGAATTGCAATAACAACTACTTACTGCTGTAGGCCATAACTAGAGCTTGTAGGGAGGGGAACGTTTGATTGGTGGCTATATAGTAGCCGCCATTATCTAAGGGTTTTATACGATAATGTTTAACATGATAGCCACGACCATCTTCCCAGTCTTTAACAGATAATGAAAAACCATTTGGATTATGTTCCGAGGGTCTTACCAAAAATGTTCCTCGTGGATTCTCCTCCGCCAATAACAATTTGTCGGCCTCTTTGCGCAAAACATTTTCAAAGAACCAACTGCCAGAGAAAAAAAAAAATCAAATTTTAATTATTTTTCTTAACTTAATATTCCCAAAATTAAACTTACTCTTCACTATTCACACTTCGCTCCTCGGCTACAAAATTTAAAGGTATCAAACCCTCTTGCCTTGTAGTCAAATTAACTACACGCCACCAATCCGATTCGGTATCATCGATTACCTCCATACGGTCGCCTTTCATAAAACTCAAATCAGACTCATCACGTGATTTATAATCGTATAAAGCCACAACGACACGTCGTTTAGGGATACCACCAGCAACAGCTGCCTGTACGCCGGCTGTAAAGGAAATTTGAAAAATAAAATTAATAAGGAAATTAGTTTAGAAAATTTATATTTTTTTCTCTCTACATTTTAGCACTTTTCACAAACAAACAAGTTTTTCTTGCAAGTTTAAGGTAAAAAGAGCAGAAAATTATGTCTGTTTGTCAAACAGTCAAACAGTCTGCAGTTCTATTTGCTAAGGGTTAAAATAAATTGAAAGTAATTGAAGGGAAACGAACTGCATTACATTGAAAAGTGAATATAATATAAACATGATTTTGTTGTTTTTGTTTCTTTAATATGTTTTAAATATACTAGCGACGGTAAAAGTTTTGAAAAGTCTCATTTGTATGGTTTCATTTTAAAAAGTGCATAAATAAAATAATTAATAACTAAAGATTATATTTCTTGTTTTTTGCCATAAACTAATAAGGAAATTCTTGAGAAAATAATAATTAGTTTAAGAAAGTTAAACCCCCAAACTGAACTAGAACTGAACTAGAACTGAACTAGAACTGAACTAGAACTGAACTAGAACTGAACTAGAACTGAACTAGAACTGAACTAGAACTGAACTAGAACTGAACTAGAACTGAACTAGAACTGAGCTAGAACTGAACTAGAACTGAACTAGAACTGAACTAGAACTGAACTAGAACTGAACTAGAACTAAACTAGAACTGAACTAGAACTGAACTAGAACTGAACTAGAACTGAACTAGAACTGAACTAGAACTGAACTAGAACTGAACTAGAACTGAACTAGAAATGAACTAGAACTGAACTAGAACTGAACTAGAACTGAACTAGAAACTGAACTAGAACTGAACTAGAACTGAACTAGAACTGACTAGAAGGAACTAGAACTGAACTAGAACTGAACTAGAAACTGAACTAGAACTGAACTAGAACTGAACTAGACTGAAACAAGACTGAACATAGAACTGAATGAACTAGAACTGAACTAGAACTGACCTAGAACTGAACTAGAACTGAACTAGAACTGACTAGAACTGAACTAGAACCGGGACTAGAAACTGAACTAGAACTGAACTAGAACTGAACTAGAAACTGAACTAGAACTGAAACTAGAACTGAACTAGAACTGAACTAGAACTGAACTAGAACTGAACTAGAACTGAACTAGACAACTGAACTAGAACTGAACTAGAACTGAACTAGAACTGAACTAGAACTGAACTAGAACTGAACTAGAACTAACTAGAACTGAACTAGAAACTGAACTAGAACTGAACTAGAACTGACTAGAACTGAACTAGAACTGAACTAGAACTGACTAGAACTGAACTAGAACTGACTAGAACTTAGAACTGAACTAGAACTGAACTAGAACTGAACTAGAACTGAACTAGAACTGAACTAGAACTGAACTAGAACTGAACTAGAACTGAACTAGAACTGAACTAGAACTGAACTAGAACTGAACTAGAACTGAACTAGAACTGAACTAGAACTGAACTAGAACTGAACTAGAAACTGAACTAGAACTGAACTAGAACTGAACTAGAACTGAACTAGAACTGAACTAGAACTGAACTAGAACTGAACTAGAACTGAACTAGAACGAACTAGAACTGGAACTAGAACTGAACTAGAACTGAACTAGAACTGAACTAGAACTGAACTAGAACTGAACTAGAACTGAACTAGAACTGAACTAGAACTGAACTAGAACTGAACTAGAACTGAACTAGAACTGAACTAGAACTGAACTAGAACTGAACTAGAACTGAACTAGAACTGAACTTAGAACTGAACTAGAACTGAACTAGAACTGAACTAGAACTGAACTAGAACTGAACTAGAACTGAACTAGAACTGAACTAGAACTGAACTAGAACTGAACTGGAACTGAACTAGAACTGAACTAGAACTGAACTAGAACTGAACTAGAACTGAACTAGAACTGAACTAGAACAGAACTAGAACTGAACTAGAACTGAACTAGAACTGAACTAGAACTGAACTAGAACTGAACTAGAACTGAACTAGAACTGAACTAGAACTAAATAACAAAAACTTTAAATAACAATTTAAAATTTTGGAAACAGTTCAATGAAAAGAACTGAACTAGAACTGAACTAGAACTGAACTAGAACTGAACTAGAACTGAACTAGAACTGAACTAGAACTGAACTAGAACTGAACTAGAACTAAATAACAAAAACTTTAAATAACAATTTAAAATTTTGGAAACAGTTCAATGAAAAGCGAAAATTTTCAAAAATATTCTTTATAACGCAAAAATTTCCGAAAAAAGCGAAAGCGAACAAATTTTCCGTCAATTTTCCACAATAAAATAAATATAAAAAGACACATTTTCTATAAAAAAAGAAACATTTTCTATAAAACATTTCATAAACAGAAAATTTATTAAACAATTTTTATAAATTCGCTATTCTTTGCCGTTTATTTAACATTGAAATGCCTATAGAGGTTTTAATAGAAAGTCAAACCTTAAAAAAAGAAGTGTTCATGAATTTTTAATATCTTTGTCGCATTTTAAATTAACAGACATATTTGTTTTTTCTTTCATGGTTATTATTTCAACAAACAAACTTTCGTACTAGTAGTTTTATTTGTCTTGTTTTATTGTTTTTTTTTTTTTTAATTTTTTTGTTCAATGTAACATAATCTATCAAGTTCAATAATATTCAATGGTAATAATGTTGGCTGGCATTCGATTTGTAAAACATGAAAATGCAAATAACGTAAACAACGAAAAAAAAGAACAAATTTGAATTCAATGCCAGCTTTCTGTTTCAGTTTTTTCAACATTTCTATATTGTTTTCTCATTTATAAATCATGGCAACAAAAACAAGATATGAGCCATCATCATCTCCTTTTCACTAAACTGTCGCTTGATTAAAAAATCTGGCAAAATTTTTCTCTGCAGTAGTTTTTATTTCTTTTTTTTTCGTATAATTTTTAATTATTTATAACATTTTTAATGATGATGATGGGTTTGTTTATTATAGTCCTTTCAATAGCTTTTATTTCTCCTATTTTTTGGCTTTAAACTTTTTTTGCGAATAAAAAAAATCTATGGACTTTGTTCTATGGACTTTGTTCACGTTGAATTGTTGACTTTGATTTAACAGCTCAATAATAGTAAAAACAAAGTGAGAAAAGTGAAATAAATAGAAAATACAGAATTCTAAAATGAGGACATACATTCATTCGTAAACATAAAAGTTGAAACAAATATACACGTATAAATAATATGAGGCCAAGGTGAACAAACCATAGGAAACATGTAACAAACCTAATAACAACAACAATAATAAATAAACAAAAGAAATGTGCGAAAATACCTTAATTAGGTTAAGAACACTCTTCTCAAAAACGTGATTAAATATTTAACGAAATAGAAACAACAACAAAAAAAAACTAAAAATAAATTGGATAGTAAAAACGTTTATTGGTCATAAACGAGTGTCTTTTGGCACGCGCTAATCAACCATATTATTATATCATCATCAATTTGGGTATTTTATTGAAAAAAGAGAGCTTACGAACTTAATCAGGTCAAAATAAACATGATTTGTTGTGATTTTAGCAAATATTTCTTGAGTATTTTATGGTTATAAATATTTAACAATTAAAGGCAAAAAGATTATGGAATTTCGAAAATTTACAAACTTTAGATTTTTGCTCGGCTTTTAAACTTTTCAAAATTAGTTTTAAAAATATTTTGGAAAATTTTAAAAACTAAAAAAGTTTTAAAAATATTTTGGAAAATTTTAAAAACTAAAAAAATTTTGAAATTTTTTTTTTTAATTTTTCTCTTTTTTATTAAACAATTTTATTTTATGAACTAGAATTTAATCAGACCTGAAATCAGCTAGCAGTGAACTAGAAATGAACTAGAACTGAACAAGAACTGAACTAGAACTGAACTAGAACTGAACTAGAACTGAACTAGAACTGAACTAGAACTGAACTAGAACTGAACTAGAACTGAACTAGAACTAAACTAGAACTGAACTAGAACTGAACTAGAACTGAACTAGAACTGAACTAGAATTGAACTAGAACTGAACTAGAACTGAACTAGAACTGAACTAGAACTGAACTAGAACTGAACTAGAACTGAACTAGAACTGAACTAGAACTGAACTAGAACTGAACTAGAACTAAACTAGAACTGAACTAGAACTGACTAGAACTGAACTAGAACTGAACTAGAACTGAACTAGAACTGAACTAGAACTGAACTAGAACTGAACTAGAACTGAACTAGAACTGAACTAGAACTGAACTGAACTAGAACTGAACTAGAACTGAACTAGAACTGAACTAGAACTGAACTAGAACTGAACTAGAACTGAACTAGAACTGAACTAGAACTGAACTAGAACTGAACTAGAACTGAACTAGAACTGAACTAGAACTGAACTAGAACTGAACTAGAACTGAACTAGAACTGAACTAGAACTGAACTAGAACTGAACTAGAACTGAACTAGAACTAGAACTGAACTAGAACTGAACTAGAACTGAACTAGAACTGAACTAGAACTGAACTAGAACTGAACTAGAACTGAACTAGAACTGAACTAGAACTGAACTAGAACTGAACTAGAACTGAACTAGAACTGAACTAGAACTGAACTAGAACTGAACTAGAACTGAACTAGAACTGAACTAGAACTGAACTAGAATGACTAGAACTGAACTAGAACTGAACTAGAACTGAACTAGAACTGAACTAGAACTGAACTAGAACTGAACTAGAACTGAACTAGAACTGAACTAGAACTGAACTAGAACTGAACTAGAACTGAACTAGAACTGAACTAGAACTGAACTAGAACTGAACTAGAACTGAACTAGAACTGAACTAGAACTGAACTAGAACTGAACTAGAACTGAACTAGAACTGAACTAGAACTGAACTAGAACTGAACTAGAACTGAACTAGAACTGAACTAAACTGAACTAGAACTGAACTAGAACTGAACTAGAACTGAACTAGAACTGAACTAGAACTGAACTGAACTGAACTGGAACTGAACTAGAACTGAACTAGAACTGAACTAGAACTGAACTAGAACTGAACTAGAACTGAACTAGACTGAACTAGAACTGAACTAGAACTGAACTAGAACTGAACTAGAACTGAACTAGAACTGAACTAGAACTGAACTAGAACTGAACTAGAACTGAACTAGAACTGAACTAGAACTGAACTAGAACTGAACTAGAACTGAACTAGAACTGAACTAGAACTGAACTAGAACTAGAACTGAACTAGAACTGAACTAGAACTGAACTATAACTGAACTAGAACTGAACTAGAACTGAACTAGAACTGAACTGGAACTGAACTAGAACTGAACTGAACTGAACTAGAACTGAACTAGAACTGAACTAGAACTGAACTAGAACTGAACTAGAACTGAACTACTGAACTAGAACTGAACTAGAACTGAACTAGAACTGAACTAGAACTAACCAGAACTTAACCGAAACTGAACTAGAACTGAACTAAATTTAATTTTTTTCAACGTTTCTGGCAAAAAAAAAAAAAACATTTTTTTTAATATTTTCCAAAAAATTAATATTTTTAGAAAAAATTTTATTTTAAAAATAATTTCCAAAAAATGTCTTTTTTTATAGAAAATTTAAAGCAAAATATCTATTTTTATTGAGAATTTCTCGGAAAAATGTATCTTCTTTTCAAACAAATTTATTTATTTTTTTCTTTTTTTTTTTTGAAAAATTTTTGAAATATTTCACTTTTCAGAGAAAATTTTCATCAAATTTAGCAAAATTTGTCTTTTTATAAATAAATTTCGAATATTCTGACTTTTTATGGAAGTTTTTCGAAATATATCTTTTTATTTTTAGAAAATTTCTCATTTTAAAGAAAAATTTTGAAAATATTTTTCAAATTTCGAAAGATTTTCGAACTTAAAATAATTAAAATTCCACTTACTTGGCGTTGTTCGCGGCCTTATTATATCCACTCCACTCTTAGCAGCAATTTTCAAGGGAACACGATTTGGATCGGGTGTATAGCGGGAATCCAATGAACCGCCATTATTATGCTTCTGGCCCGTATTGTTAATGTGTGTTTGACCAAATGTATAATCGGACTTTTTATAGCCGGTTGGATAAGCAAGAGCTAGTTCCTGGTCCTGACGTTTGCTGCAGCATTTGTTCCCCATTGTTAGACAAGTTGTTAGATGCACTCGCACGCACACACTCTATCACTCACACCCCAAAGACACAAACTCACTAACTCTCACACCAAAACACCAACACAATGGCAAAATGTAGTTGCAATTGCAATTAATGTTGAGACAGTTGTTGTAGGTGTGTTAAAGGAGAAGGAGTTGTATGTTGTATGTTTGATTGTTTGTTTTTGTTTTTAAACTCTCAAACAGGGAGTAGGTGGAGTGTAAATTTTACAGTGTGATTATTTTTTTATTTAATCCTTAGTTGTTTTTTTTATATAAATATATAAAAATTAAATGTAAAGTTGGAGTTGTTAAATGCTTCTCTTTTTTGTTGTTTGTTTTTGTTTTTCTTTATTTTTCTCAGTTTTGCAGAAGGAAGTAGACAGTTTGAAGTAGAAAAAGCAGCATTTAATTAAGAAAAAATTCTTATATTTACAACAAAAAAAAAACAAAGCAGCTTTATAAATATAAAATAATTATTTTCTTAAGCATTATGATGAAGAAATTGAAGCTTTAGATTTGTATTTTTGTTTTTTGTTAATTTTCTTTTGTAACTGGAGATCACTGGTTTCGAGACAAAGAAGAATTTTTTTTTTTTAAAGTTACGTTTTGTTGTTGTTGTTGTTTAATTTTGTTGTAAGGAATTCAGCTAGTAAAAATTGTTCTTGTTGTAATTCGTTTTGTTTCGTTCAGGCTTAAGCTTATATAAAAAAGTTAAATTTATAATATAATAATTAATATAAACTATCAGTCAAGTTGTTTTTTTTTTTGTTTTTGTTGTTGTTATTATAATTAAGCCGTAAAAAAGAAAACCTCTGGTTTGTTGTAAGATGATTTGTTGGTTTGTTTTCTTTCTCTTCTTTTTTTCTCAATAAAAAATTTACATAAAAAAGTGCCAAGTATTGAAAAAGTTTGTTTTGGAGGGCGCAAGGAAAAGCTTTTTTAATTTATTTTATTTACGTTATTTTTCGCAAATTTATTTGGTTGCAAAAGTCGTTTATAAAAAAAAGAGTCGAAGAAGAACGGTAACGTAGTCACAGCTTATGAATCATTTCATTTTATTTCAGTTTATGGATGATGACGAGGTTGAAAGTAATGACGTAATTAACAGTGATGTTTAAATGTGTAGATGGTGGTGATGTATAGTAGTCGACGTTTTAATTTCAAATTCCTTTTTTGCTGAATTTTTATTATATTCATAAAAAGTTGATGTGTTGCTTTAGCTTCTCAGTTTTTTCCCTTGGAAAAGTTTTGTAGAAGACTCAAAGTGTTACCAGTATTTCGAGTTGTAGTATGAATGAGGGTTTTCAACATAACCTCAATTAAATTAAGGTTATGTTGGATTTGTTGCAGTTGTTGATTTTTTTCTTTTTTTCTTCGTTTTCGCTTCAATGGCTGGTTGAGATGATAAATCACAGCAAATGAAAAATAATATAATGCGATGTATAAAATTATGTGATTTTTGCTGATGTGTTATTTAAGAATATTTTGATTTTTTCCGTTATAAATGATGTCATTGCTGCTGCTCTCGCTGGTAACAGTATCTAAATGGAAAAATCCTTTTACTTAAATATAATCCGACATTAACTACTGTTCGTCATTGGCAAAGTTGGTGCGTTGAAAAACTGTAATGAGAAAAGAGATGAAGTTATGGATAAATAAATTAAAAATGTGATATAAGTAGGTATTCACATATTATCAAACTTATTAAAACTGTTGAAAAGATTTTAAAATTAAATTGTATGTGTGTTATTGTATACACAAATTTCAAAGAAATCCCTTATTTAGAAAAAAATAGTTTAACTCTAGTTCAGTTCTAGAACTGAACTAGGACTGAACTAGAACTGAACTAGAACTGAACTAGAAACTGAACTAGAACTGAACTAGAACTGAACTAGAACTGAACTAACGAACTAGAACTGAACTAGAACTGAACTAGAACTGAACTAGAACTGAACTAGAACTGAACTAGAACTGAACTAGAACTGAACTAGAACTGAACTAGAACTGAACTAGAACTGAACTAGAACTGAACTAGAACTGAACTAGAACTGAACTAGAACTGAACTAGAACTGAACTAGAACTGAACTAGAACTGAACTAGAACTGAACTAGAACTGAACTAGAACTGAACTAGAACTGAACTAGAACTGAACTAGACTGACTAGAACTGAACTAGAACTGAACTAGAACTGAACTAGAAACTGAACTAGAACTGAACTAGAACTGAACTAGAACTGAACTAGAACTGAACTAGAACTGAACTAGAACTGAACTAGAACTGAACTAGAAACTGAACTAGAACTGAACTAGAACTGAACTAGAACTGAACTAGAACTGAACTAGAACTGAACTAGAACTGAACTAGAACTGAACTAGAACCTGAACTAGAACTGAACTAGAACTGAACTAGAACTGAACTAGAACTGAACTAGAACTGAACTAGAACTGAACTAGAACTGAACTAGAACTGAACTAGAACTGAACTAGAACTGAACTAGAACTGAACTAGAACTGAACTAGAACTGAACTAGAACTGAACTAGAACTGAACTAGAACTGAACTAGAACTGAACTAGAAACTGAACTAGAACTGAACTAGAACTGAACTAGAACTGAACTAGAACTGAACTAGAACTGAACTAGAACTGAACTAGAACTGAACTAGAACTGAACTAGAACTGAACTAGAACTGAACTAGAACTGAACTAGAACTGAACTAGAACTGAACTAGAACTGAACTAGAACTGAACTAGAACTGAACTAGAACTGAACTAGAACTGAACTAGAACTGAACTAGAACTGAACTAGAACTGAACTAGAACTGAACTAGAACTGAACTAGAACTGAACTAGAACTGAACTAGAACTGAACTAGAACTGAACTAGAACTGAACTAGAACTGAACTAGAACTGAACTAGAACTGAACTAGAACTGAACTAGAACTGAACTAGAACTGAACTAGAACTGAACTAGAACTGAACTAGAACTGAACTAGAACTGAACTAGAACTGAACTAGAACTGAACTAGAACTGAACTAGAACTGAACTAGAACTGAACTAGAACTGAACTAGAACTGAACTAGAACTGAACTAGAACTGAACTAGAACTGAACTAGAACTGAACTAGAACTGAACTAGAACTGAACTAGAACTGAACTAGAACTGAACTAGAACTGAACTAGAACTGAACTAGAACTGAACTAGAACTGAACTAGAACTGAACTAGAACTGAACTAGAACTGAACTAGAACTGAACTAGAACTGAACTAGAACTGAACTAGAACTGAACTAGAACTGAACTAGAACTGAACTAGAACTGAACTAGACTGAACTAGAACTGAACTAGAACGAACTAGAACTGAACTAGAACTGAACTAGAACTGAACTAGAACTGAACTAGAACTGAACTAGAACTGAACTAGAACTGAACTAAACTGAAATAGAACTGAACTAGAACTGAACTAGAACTGAACTAGAACTGAACTAGAACTGACTAGAACTGAACTAGAACTGAACTAGAACTGAACTAGAACTGAACTAGAACTGAACTAGAACTGAACTAGAACTGAACTAGAACTGACTAGAACTGAACTAGAACTGAACTAGAACTGAGCTAGAACTGAACTAGAACTGAACTAGAACTGAACTAGAACTGAACTAGAACTGAACTAACTGAACTAGAAGAACTAGAACTGAACTAGAACTGAACTAGAACTGAACTAGAACTGAACTAGAACTGAACTAGAACTGAACTAGAACTGAACTAGAACTGAACTAGAACTGAACTAGAACTGAACTAGAACTGAACTAGAACTGAACTAGAACTGAACTAGAACTGAACTAGAACTGAACTAGAACTGAACTAACTGAACTAGAACTGAACTGAACTAGAACTGAACTAGAACTGAACTAGAACTGAACTAGAACTGAACTAGAACTGAACTAGAACTGAACTCTGAACTAGAACTGAACTAGAACTGAACTAGAACTGAACTAGAACTGAACTAGAACTGAACTAGAACTGAACTAGAACTGAACTAGAACTGAACTAGAACAGAACTAGTAATAAACAAACAATAAAAAAAAACACCCTCCGACTTTAAATACTTTTAACAAAGAAGTTTAGTTAAAGCTCTTTTGTTTTTCCCCTTCCTTCCTAAAAGACTTACAAAATTCTATTTAAATTTCTAATTGATACGTACAAACTCAGTATGCAAATAACAAACATAGTTAACACACTTTTTATGCAAATAACTTTTACTTTTTTCCCTTATTGTTGTAGCGTTCTGTAGCCTTTGTTAGTTTCATTTTCATTTTGTTATTTTATTTGTTTTGATTTATGAACTCATCATTATTATCCTGATCTAAGTCATTAAAAGTCCTTTTTATTGCAACTTAAGTTTGCAACACCCGACTATAAAGTCCTTGTGCACACAGTAAGAACTACAATAACAACAGTTATTGAATAAATTTGTTCTCAATGGTGTCAGCTTGTCAAAATGTTCAATTATTGTTGCTATTTTCTCTGACTCTGTCTTTACAGCCGCGTTATGCTTGATGTTGTTGTTGTTTTGTTAATTTTGTTATTGTACCCCGCTTAAATTGAGAAATGTCATTACGTTTCTTGTTGTATTTTTGTTATTATTGTTGCTATTTCTGTTGGAAGTGTGTCGGTTTGTCGCTTTTTGTCATAAGCAAGTGAGAAAATTGAACAAGGAATGTTTAACAGAAAATAAAAATGTTGAACTCATTCCTTAACGGACAATATGGCGCCTTTGGTATCGACACAAAGAATGAACACCAGAATGTTAAAAATTTTAATATGAATTACACCATTTCCCAAAATAATAGAGTGTAAAATTTTTACGTTAAAGGAAAGATTTTAAAATAGTTAAGAATACTTCAATTGGTTCTACAGGCGGTATGAGCAATTTCGTATTTGTATAAAATTTTTCAACAAGTATACGATCTGATGAACGAATGTTTGAGTTTTATATTATGTTCTAGTTCTGTTCAAGTTCTGTTCAAGTTCTGTTCTAGTTCTGTTCTAGTTCAGTTCTAGTTCTGTTCTAGTTTTGTTCTAGTTCTGTTCTAGTTCTGTTCTAGTTTTGTTCTAGTTCTGTTCTGTTCTGTTCTGTTCTGTTCTAGTTCTGTTCTAGTTCTGTTCTAGTTCTGTTCTAGTTCTGTTCTAGTTCTGTTCTAGTTCTGTTCTAGTTCTGTTCTAGTTCTGTTCTAGTTCTGTTCTAGTTCTGTTCTAGTTCTGTTCTAGTTCTGTTCTAGTTCTGTTCTAGTTCTGTTCTAGTTCTGTTCTAGTTCTGTTCTAGTTCTGTTCGAGTTCTGTTCTAGTTCTGTTCTAGTTCTGTTCTAGTTCTGTTCTAGTTCTGTTCTAGTTCTGTTCTAGTTCTGTTCTAGTTCTGTTCTAGTTCTGTTCTAGTTCTGTTCTAGTTCTGTTCTAGTTCTGTTCTAGTTCTGTTCTAGTTCTGTTCTAGTTCTGTTCTAGTTCTGTTCTAGTTCTGTTCTAGTTCTGTTCTAGTTCTGTTCTAGTTCTGTTCTAGTTCTGTTCTAGTTCTAGTTCTGTTCTAGTTCTGTTCTAGTTCTGTTCTAGTTCTGTTCTAGTTCTGTTCTAGTTCTGTTCTAGTTCTGTTCTAGTTCTGTTCTAGTTCTGTTCTAGTTCTGTTCTAGTTCTAGTTCTGTTCTAGTTCTGTTCTAGTTCTGTTCTAGTTCTGTTCTAGTTCTGTTCTAGTTCTGTTCTAGTTCTGTTCTAGTTCTGTTCTAGTTCTGTTCTAGTTCTGTTCTAGTTCTATTCTAGTTCTGTTCTAGTTCTGTTCTAGTTCTGTTCTAGTTCTGTTCTAGTTCTGTTCTAGTTCTGTTCTAGTTCTGTTCTAGTTCTGTTCTAGTTCTGTTCTAGTTCTGTTCTAGTTCTGTTCTAGTTCTGTTCTAGTTCTGTTCTAGTTCTGTTCTAGTTCTGTTCTAGTTCTGTTCTAGTTCTGTTCTAGTTCTGTTCTAGTTCTGTTCTAGTTCTGTTCTAGTTCTGTTCTAGTTCTGTTCTAGTTCTGTTCTAGTTCTGTTCTAGTTCTGTTCTAGTTCTGTTCTAGTTCTGTTCTAGTTCTGTTCTAGTTCTGTTCTAGTTCTGTTCTAGTTCTGTTCTAGTTCTGTTCTAGTTCTGTTCTAGTTCTGTTCTAGTTCTGTTCTAGTTCTGTTCTAGTTCTGTTCTAGTTCTGTTCTAGTTCTGTTCTAGTTCTGTTCTAGTTCTGTTCTAGTTCTGTTCTAGTTCTGTTCTAGTTCTGTTCTAGTTCTGTTCTAGTTCTGTTCTAGTTCTGTTCTAGTTCTGTTCTAGTTCTGTTCTAGTTCTGTTCTAGTTCTGTTCTAGTTCTGTTCTAGTTCTGTTCTAGTTCTGTTCTAGTTCTGTTCTAGTTCTGTTCTAGTTCTGTTCTAGTTCTGTTCTAGTTCTGTTCTAGTTCTGTTCTAGTTCTGTTAGTTCTGTTCTAGTTCTGTTCTAGTTCTGTTCTAGTTCTGTCTAGTTTGTTCTAGTTCTGTTCTAGTTCTGTTCTAGTTCTAGTTCTGTTCTAGTTCTGTTCTAGTTCTGTTCTAGTTCTGTTCTAGTTCTGTTCTAGTTCTGTTCT